GATTTTTTATACATATTCGTTTATTCTATTGCGAAATTTAGGGGTTTCAAATTTTGTGAAATTGATTTCTTCATAGAAATAGTGAATGGTGAACCGTGTTCTTCTAATGTTTTTATCGCAAACTACCGATGATATATATGGATATTAATGGCCTAAATATGATTGATCACACATCCTGGGCCGGATGTGGCATCCCAATATTTGGTATAATTGGACTTGGAATTTCACATTTCTTAGGGCCGACATTGGACGAACAAAACATTGTAATCGACAGAAAATATTAACAAATGGAAGGATATTAAGCCACATCATGTCGACCAAACAAGCTCTGAGAATATTGAGGTGGCAGTGATTGGGTTAAATTTAAATGACTATTCAATCAAAACCTAGGGGGTGTATTCATTTGAAATTTAGGGGGGGTGTATTTAACTAAGACTTTTATTGACTTTTGAAGACTTCCAAAGTTTTGGGGTATCCAATTGAAACTTTTTTAGACTCTCCAAAAGTTTACATGTACTCAATTAAAACTTTCCAAAAATCTCAATAAGTTACCCATTATTCAAGTTGCTAAGATTTTATGAGACTTTACAAAGGAAAATGATTCTTGGAGACTTATTTACCAAAATATAAAGAAACCGATGCTTGTGAAAATCTCACCAAAATTGTAATATTGTTGAACGTGAAGACTCTTCTTTTTCTCGTCTACAAGGTACTCTCATACTTTTCTCTAGGGTTTATAGAATTTGAGATGCTTTTATTATTGTATTCTGCAGTGTATGCCATGAATAATGTATGTGTTCAAAAATTTGAGATGCTTTCGAAAAATCTCACAAAAATGAATAAACAATACATATTCGTGCACTTATTAGTCGCACGAATTTTTTGTGTATTTTTTTTATTATGTCTTCTTGTTCTGTAAATCCTTGAAAATTAATGCCTGTTACGGTTTAAGATCTGTTGTGGCACGATTGCATATGGGAATTAGTGACATGTGGTTTTCCTTTGTTCCGTAAATGAGATCAATTTATTTACTGTTATAAATCAAGCAGTTGGTTAGCTATTGATGATGTTTTGCTTCTAACTTCATGGTCCATGGTACCTGTGATTGGTAGACAGAGAACATTTTTCTGGCTTTTTACTTGCAGCTGAAGTATAAACTAGTACAAAAATACATGGGTGTTTACTTTTCTCCTTGTTTTGATATTTTTGGGTAGGGGTGAGCATGGTGTGGTTCGGTGCAAAACTGCACTGAACCGCAAAAAACCGAAAACTGAAAATGTCCAAATGTCCAAACTGAACCGAACCGCATTTGGAGAAAAAACTGAACCAAAACTGCACCGAAATTTTCGGTTCGGTACGGTTTCGGTGCGGTTAACCGCAAATAAACAGAAAAAAGGCCTCGTGAGTAAAAAGCTACAAAACCCAAATCATGAACACCACGAAAAATAAACCGAAACAGAAAAAAAAAATCAAAATACGAAGTGGAGGTTACCATTATCAGTAAATTGTCATAAGCAGCAAAATTTCAAGAGATACAGACAAATTACCAATTCTACCATGAAAAATAAGGTTGGAATATCAAGCAGACAACTACCTCAAAACCCCAAAAAGTAGCAATTATTTTTTAAAAAACAAAACGAAAAGACAAACAGAGAAAGAGGATGAAAATTTAAAAAAGCTAAATCCTTTACAAACACAGTTTCTGAGTTTACAACAAAACACCATCTTCGACCTCACCTGGGAGGTTGGCCCATCATCCACCCGCCAAGCCTCAACGACTCAAGGTGGGTCAACTGCTTGTCAGGATCGAACAGGCTCGGATCGAAGGGCAGAGGAGTGAGTTATGAAAAACTAGGGCATAAATTAGAGTAGTTTAACTATTGTTACTTTTTGTATATTTATTGTACCAATACTACAAATAATGATACTTTTTAAGCTATTTATTGCGGTTCAGTTAAAACCGCACTATTCGGACATAAAACTGAACCGCATCGAACTTTTTGCGGTTTTTCAAAATCCTAACCGCACCAAAACCGAACACTGTAAAAACCGAACCGAACCGCACCGAATACAGAGAGTCGGCTCGATTATTCGGTTTTGCTCACCCTTATTTTTGGGTTTGAGTTTATGGTGAATTTAATCATAAAAATGTTGCCTTTGCTTTATGCACTTAATAACGAGATGCTGTTTATTTACAAAGATTGAGTCCCGAATTATTTATTGATGAAATTGCACTTGTAGTTTATGGTGAATATAGATGGCATACGCATTTAAAATTATTATTCACACGACATGATCGAAGTATTATCCGGTTCAAGTGTTTGTAAATATAGGTGTTGGTAGCAATGGTAGATTGATCACAAGAAAATGAAAAAGTTCAGAGATACGAAATATGGACATCTGAAGAGAGTAATGAATTTCTTAGACTCATAGTTGATGCAACCAATCGCGGATGGTGTGATAAGTCTGAAATTTTGAGTAAAGTAACCGAGAAACATATATTGCCCCCTCTTAATGCAAAGCTTGGAACTGAGAAGACGTATGCTCAATATAAAAGTCATGTAAAATGGTTTAAGAAACAATATAAAAAATATTCCAAGCTTATGTGACATAACTTGGGCATTGGCTGGGATGACGTGTCCAAGAAATTTCATGTGTGGGACGAGTGCTTTAGGATAAGCATGTTTTATATGATTGGCACTAATCCTAGATCCTTGTCCCCGATTGATAGTACTTGATATGATTAAAATATTTCATACAACGTTTAAATGACATTTTTTTTTCTTTTACTAGTCAAGAAACTGAAAGAGAAGCTGCAAATGCGTGGAGATTGAGTTTGACAACGAACATGTGGAATGATGTTGGAAATATTTGATGTATTGTTCATTTTATTTTTGCTCTTTTTTTATTTTTTTATTTCCCGTACAATGTTAATAAGATTACTATTGTACTCTTTTGGTTCGATTGTTGAATGTTTTTCATTCTTGTTTCCATATCATTTCATTTGTTATAATATTTTTTTCCTCTTATCTTCATTCTTGCTATAAATAGTGCTTAATATCATAACACGTTTTAAATTAATATTAGATAATTTTTTTGATTACTAACTTGACTTGATAGATACTAGTTATTATGCACATAATATTTTTATGAGCATTTCATACAATTATATTATTATATTAAGATTTATATAAAAGTCTTGAAAAGTCCCAAAACGTTCATATTGGAAGTCTTAAAGTCTCCATAACAATCCCACAAAATCCACCAAAGTTATTAAAAGTTGCATAAAATCCACTAAAGTCATCTACTTTAAAAAGGCTTAAAAAGTCGTGAAAAGTCCTAATTGAATACACCCCTTAGAATGATATTTTAAGACTTTTTCAGATTTGAAACTTCTTACGATTTGAAAATTTTGGAGTAATCTTATGAAATATCAAGTCGGGAGATTTTGAGTGAGGTTTTTGTTTAGAAATTACAACAAATCTTAAAATCTCTTAACAAATTAAAGTCACAAGTCAGAATTTTGTAAAACTTTTTCATGTAAAATGGTTTAAGAAACAATACAATAAATATGCCAAGCTTATGTGACATAACTTGGGCTTTGGCTGGGATGACGTGTCCAAGAAATTTCATGTGTGGGACGAGTGCTTTAGGATAAGCATGTTTTATATGATTGACATTAACCCTAGATCCTTGTCCCCGATTGATAGTACTTGATATGATTAAAATATTTCATACAACGTTTAAATGACATTTTTTTTTCTTTTACTAGTCAAGAAACTGAAAGAGAAGCTGCAAATGCGTGGAGATTGAGTTTGACAACGAATATGTGGAATGATGTTGGAAATATTTGATGTATTGTTCATTTTATTTTTGCTCTTTTTTTATTTTTCTATTTCCCGTACAATGTTAATAAGATAACTATTGTACTCTTTTGGTTCGATTGTTGAATGTTTTTCATTCTTGTTTCCATATCATTTCATTTGTTATAATATTTTTTTCCTCTTATCTTCATTCTTGCTCTAAATAGTGCTTAATATCATAACACGTTTTAAATTAATATTAGATATTTTTTTTTTGATTACTAACTTGACTTGATAGATACTAGTTATTATGCACATAATATTTTTATGAGCATTTCATACAATTATATTATTATATTAAGATTTATATAAAAGTCTTGAAAAATCCCAAAACGTTCATATTGGAAGTCTTAAAGTCTGCATAACAATCCCACAAAATCCACCAAAATCATTAAAAGTTGCATAAAATTCACTAAAGTCATTTACTTTAAAAAGGCTTAAAAAGTCGTGAAAAGTCCTAATTGAATACACCCCTTAGAATGATATTTTAAGACTTTTTCAGATTTGAAACTTCTTAAGATTTGAAAATTTTGGAGTAATATTATGAAATATCAAGTCGGGAGATTTTGAGTGAGGTTTTTGTTTAGAAATTACAACAAATCTTAAAATCTCTTAACAAATTAAAGTCACAAGTCAGAATTTTGTAAGACTTTTTAAAATTTTCAAATAGATATCAAAGATTTAAAAAATTTAAACAAGTCTAATTAAATACACCAATATTTATAAAGTCTTAAAGAATATATGGAAATACAAAATGAATATCCCTCCCTATATATTAATTCAAAACGTGTTGAGCCTATGTGGCGGATTCTCATGCTTCGGATGCTGACATGGCAAAAATCTATGCTTCGTGATGTTGTTTTATTATTATTTTTTACTTTGGAGTTAGGTTTGGTATTAGACATAAATAACTTTACACATATATTCATTTACTCAACACCCATGTTGTACATGGCTATTAGTACTAGTACTCCTTATATCCAAAGAAGTATAAGGAGTATATGGAAATACAAAATGAATATACTCGATTTTCTACCATTATCTTCTTCTGCAATTTATTCAAAGTTTTTCTTCTACACTGAACCGAACCCTATCTGTAGTGTGAGAGGATACTACTAGGGCTTTTGTTGATTGTAAATGGAGACGTCACTCAGGTATGGCGGAGATTCCAAGTCTCTCCGAATTCACGCCAAGGAAAAATTGCCCCTTGCGGCCAACGCTCTCTGCCAGGTTAAAATTTCCGTTTCCTCTGTCTCCTATTTAATCCATTATCTCTGCGTACGAGTTTGATTACCAATACACATTTCAATGGATAAGGTCCTTGTTGTGTTTGATTTTCGTCATATTTTATTACTCTTTACCCTTTTAGGGCTGTCATGTGGTTGAAATTTAGTGATTTCTTGAGATGTTGTGGTGGTTTGAACTGTCCTGCAAACATGTCCATTTAGCTCGGAGTATCCTATGTTCTTTTTCTTTGTGCATTTGTTTGATTCTGCTTAAGAACGCCCACACAAGTCTAGAACGGTTCGTGAATGTTCTTTTCTCTCTTCTCTTGTCCTTGTTTTTCTTATAGTAATTAAGTTGAATGCGTAAAGAATTAATCACTCAATCACGTTCTTTGATAAGTAACTTCTCCTGATGTTTGTTTATTATCGTATTACTCATCTTGTGAAATTTTAACTCACTAACCAGTCTTTGAATTGGCAGCTTGATGGAGAGCTAGACACCAAACACGGGACTCCAACTTGTGTGAATGCGATGATAAGATACTTCTACCCTGATGTATGTCTCTATACTCTCCTTTTAATATAGCTAATTCTTGCAATAACCTTTCTCCAATACACACTGAAGACTAAGAATACGGGGATGGATAGTTTTCGTCGAAGTCCTTATTGATTCTGAATTATATTGTTAATGGTTCGCAAGTATCTATACAGGAGGTTACTTTTGGACCATGGGATATGTGTGTACACATTAAGAGTTGGGTAAAAGAAATATTAGAAAATATTCTTTAGTCTTAATTCTTAAATAACTTGATGTTTAGAGAACTCTTTTATTCAGAAGTTCAGCTTTTGCTCTTCTTGAGAAAACTTTACTGTTTACATCCTCCCTTGCCCTTGATGCTCATTAAGAAGATAAAAAAACGAAACAATTCTGTCATTTTGCCAAAATCCTTAAGACATTGAAGTCATGCATCTAAAACATATTCTGGACCTTAACAGTTATCAGCGAGCTTTGGTGTGGGAGTTCGATACAATAACAATAAGCGTAAGCTACACTATAACATACGTGGGAAGAAGGCATTTCCAGTATCCTCCGATGGAATGCTGAACTTCAACATTAAGGGTCGATACTACTTTGATGAGGAGTTTAAAGAGGTTTGTCTTAAATTTCATTTTACCAGACAAGACAAGTTATTGTTTTGCGATCAGTTGATTCATGTAGTTGCATATATTTCCCAATCTGTTATTGTTATTTCATCTAGTGTCTTAAATAATCCCACAAAATTTGTTTTTTGGATGCGGGACACCTAACGAATTTCTTATTGATATTAACATCTGCATACAATGTTTGAAACAGTTAAAGTATACTGGGGCTGCTGAATTTACTTGGAACATCTTCAACGTAAAAAAGGATCAGGACTTGCGTCTCAAGTTTGGATATGATGTTCTTGATAAGGTATTTTCACTTTGTGTGGTCTTGTCTACTGGGTGGTTTTGCTTGAATTGATTTTTTTCATTATGTTCTTATGAAAGTAGCATTCAACGTGGACTTTACTGTATGTTTCGTCTTTTCTTCTTCCTCATTAAACATGATTCTTATCTATCTTGGATGATTTGTTGATAGATACGTGAAATGTTTCAGTTGGTCATTCATTAGCTTCTGCCTGCCCCTGTGAGGATGATATTTTCCCTATTTGAATGATGTTAAACTTATGGCCCGACAGGCCCGTTAGCTGTCTGAGTTAGATTGGGTACATAAATTATCTGCAGCTACCCCAACTGGACTTTGAAAAGAAGGTTCATGGATTGTATTGATAAACTCAGTGAGTTGACAATAATAAGAAAAAAAGTTTTAAATTGAGGTTGGTTATCTATACCTATAGGAACTGAAATGAATTCGACTATTCGAGTCACTGAGAGGATCTTTTTTCCCCTCTGCGGCGCTTGTTGTTGTTTATTATCTTTCCTAAAGGTTATTATTTTCCCAAAATGAAAGAAAAGTTTAACATCCTTTTGTACACGGTTAGGCTTAAGATAGCTGAAGGCTATGGTACACGTAGTTTTCAAATCTGAACAAACTTTTTGGTGTAAGTCAAAAGAATGTGGGACTAGAGTAAGTTTTCAGTGTGACCTTCGCAAGTAATTAAGATTTTGTTCGGTGGATCCTAATGTTCAGTTACGTTCATTCGGTAGTCTAATGTTCCCTTAGGATGAGGAAAAACTTCATTTTTCCTCGTGAAA